AGGATTTCTGAAATTAAAGGTTAGAGACTTAAATAAAGGCTGTCTGATATTAAGAAATAAAAAGAAAATAAGAAAAATGTGTATTCTATGATGATAATTTATTTTTATGTATTTAAAAACTTGAGTTATTATTTTGGTAGGTGATTAAAATTAATATATACATGTATTATATAATAATATATATATTATTATTATTATTATGATCATCAAAAATTCCTTTTGATTTTCTAACACCAAAAACAGAAAAGAGGATCTCTCTCTCTCTCGAGATTTAAACAATTTTATTCTATTAAAATGTCTACAAACAGCGCGCGGGGGGAGGAAGAAAAAAAGGAGACCAACCAGGAGGAGGAGGAGCAAGAGGAGGAAGAGGTGGAGGAGGAGGAAGAGGAGGAGAGGAAAGAAAAAAATCCTCGTCTCTAATAATGTGTATCACCGCGATTGGGTATCGAAGGATATTTTTCCTATCTGTTTCAACTGCTGATGAATGTTTAAGCATTCCAGTATTTTTATCACCGAGTTGAATTTATGTTTGGACAAAGCAATCCATCAAGCAGACAGGCGCAGCCATCTCTTAGCCTGGTGATAAGTTTTAAATTATCCAGATTCCTGGCTAGTTCCCGTGACTTGGCATATGGATGAGATAGAATTAATTAAAGGATATAGAACTGCCTTATACATACAGCCAAATACAATAGAGATGAAAAATAATTTACTTTTTCTATTCTCCCCCTCCCCTCCTCTAGGCGAAAGCTACCGCGAGGNCAAAAAAAAAGCAAAAAAAAAGAAAAAAGCCCAAGTAGTAAAGGTTGAGAAGAGCTGCATCAACATTTTATTTATGGTAGTTTAAGCTATAGAAAATCGATTTTTGCCATTAATTTGCGTTAAAAAATCAATAAATAACATTACAGACTTTACTTTCGTTCCTTTTTTTTTTCTTCTAATAAACAAAGGTTAAAGTGCCCACAGTGAAATGAGGAGGAAGAAGTAGGATGTGGGTAGAAGACCCACACTTTTTCTTTGTATACTTCCTATTTGGAGGGGTGTAAAATATGATATACAGTAACTTACACCCTTACCATCTGGTCTTACAGTTTATGCACTACATGTAGCGTGGCCACTTATAGACAATTTTCTATATATAGAAATCTTTTTAAAAGTTGGCTATGTTATATGATAAAATGAAAATTCCCTGTATAGTGTTTTTATATATCATAATAGAATTAGTTAGATGAATTTAATAATTTTTTTATTATTTTTACTAATAAAATTTATCCATTTATTTAATTTATTTTTAGAATTTTTAACATATTTGTTCTACACCATTACACTTTTAACATACATTCTTAGGAATCAATTTATATACATATTAATGATTATACTAAATGGAACATTAACTAAAATAAATTTCAATTAAAATTATTATATTGATATATTAAGTATTAAATTAATAACATATTTATATTGATTAATTGAGTTAATAATGTGTAAAAATTAGCAATTACAGAAATGATTTTATAATTTTTATTTTTCAAATATAAAGCTGGATTTTATGATCGGCGTAATTTAATGTTTGTTAATTTATTAAATCAATATAAGACTAGAAATATGTATTTTGAAGCAAATAAGGACTTTTCTCCTCTCCTTTTTTAACTGTGATCAAATATCTATAATTTTAAACCTGTAGTTATCTTTCATGCAATGTGTATCTCTAGTTCTCAAAATACATCCTCCTACTTCTTATCGAAAATTATGTTAAAGTGGGTCAGTTCTTTAATATGTGTAAATCAGATTCAAGTCCTCTCAGAAGCGCAGAGACCCCAGTGAGTTTTTACAGGCCCCGGTATATTAAAAAAGCATTTTAAATTGTATTGTTTTTTAAACAATAAAATTATTTTTAAAATAATTTTTTCTTAATACACAATTAAGAAATACATGGAATGTGAATACAAGCAATTCGTAGCTAATGTTTTTGAGGTCTTCGCAAATGCGAAGACAGACAAATGGCTTTACTGGCCTCCCCTATTATGGAGCCTGATTAGGATATGGTTAAGATTCACAAAATACATTCTTTAAAGATACTATAGATCAGATTTTTAGAAATAAATCAATTATAGAAACTTATATTAAGTATTTATATTTTATGTTTATTTGCAAATCATGTTTTACATATATTAAAGGTGTGTCCACTTTAATATGACTTAAGATAAGGAATAGAAGAATGTATTCTGAGAACTAGAGAGATACACATTTCAAGAAAGATTAATTAAGAACTTCAACATTAAAATGGCATAAGCATTTGATCAACATTCAAAAACTAGGATCTATAAGCATCTTGTGTCTACAATACTAGATCTAATATGTAATTTTACTATATACCGTATCTTAAAATACGGATTTTACATCATAAAAATTAAAATATTACGGAACAAAGTTGAAATGTCATCCAAATATATAAACCAAATATTGATACAATCCATATTATTTATTATACGTTTAGTGTATACTCTGTGTTTATCTAATGTATTTTATTTACGTCAATTCCAAAGACTTATTAAGACTTTACCTACGTTATTTAGCAATCTTTGGAGTTTATTTATGATTAGAAACAAGCTAACGATCGTATAGTAGTCATAATCATATCGGAATTTGGCAAGAGGCCAGTGCATTGGGGTCCAACCAGCCCGTTCGAACAAAAATCAGTGTTGTAAAGCATAACATTCTGTGCTTACAGGCAATGAACTGAACAATTATTACTTTTTTATGTGCGAATTATATTAATGTTTCCGTTCTCACGAATTACAAGTTAAATATCCTCCCTGTATACTACCTTCAACGGATATTGTATAGTATAGAATGAAGTGTTTCACGCATAAGTTATTGATCTGTGTGGTGTATTATATCACACAGAAATGATTTTTCCCGTGTTTTGATATTTTACTATTTTTAGAATGATATTTACACTTAGTTAAATCGGTTGGGATATTTCTTTTGTTAAAGTGAAATGTCAATATATATGAAACATTTTTATGTCTCAAAACATAAGAATTTATACTTAATTTCTATTAGCCAGTTGTTAGTTATCGTTAAAAATTACGCTATTTATTCATTTTATAAATTTATCAAGTAGCCTTTAAAAGCCACTTGATAAATTTATAAAATGAGGAATTTAAAAGCAATTTTTATACATAATTTTCAATGGAAAGAAATTTTAAAAATAGAAAATATCCCAAAAGACTGCGTTTAATTAGTAAAAAATCTGTTCTTTGAACTGAAGAAATGAATCATATTTTATCTAAAAGTTTTGTTATCAAGTTTTATGACATTTTATATAAGCAGATATGATGTAATAAACTTTCATAAAACGAAAACTTAAAAAATATATAAAAGATATGCTTTACTTCTAATCTAAAATATCCTATTTTCCGTTAAAAATGTTAAACGAAAATTTATATTACAAGCGCTGTTAGTTACAAAGGTTATAACTAACAGCGTTTGTAACTTAGCGGCAGGTAGCTAATGTATTAATCAGTTACCAGGATATCTGTGATCAGATGTTTTTGTAAATCTCAAACCAATATTTGATTTATAAAATATAATTTTTAATGAGATAATTTTATTTAAATCGAGTTAAAACACAGACGTGTATCGATCGATCGATCGGGGATCTATATAACCTATATAAATGGAGAGAAGTGGGTAAGAACACAGCAGGAGTAATGATAAACGAAAATATTTAAAAGAAAAACTTTAAAATATTTATATATAAACGTGACAAAGCCTTAAATGTTGAAACGGATGTTATAGCAAAATGACTAGGACTGTAAAATAATAGGTACTGTATATATTACGACATCGTACAAGGAAGTATCATGTTGAATGTTGGTACAGCACTTGAATTTTGTTACAAATACGTTCGATAAAGCAGCAATAATTTCAAATATATTTTACACCCATGACTTAAGTTTATATAATAATATTTATTTAAACTAAATTTAATCATAGAATACATATATGCACAGAAGATCAAAAGTAATGTTTATATAAAGGTACGGTACAGTACAAGTAGATGCCGTTACTGTATGTTTATCCGAATTACACAACACTCCTTTTGTTAAAGATCTCGATTTATCGATTAGTTTTAACGTGACAAAAATTATAAACATTAAATTTTGTGCTGATTAATTGTTACAAAACACTCGCAGAAGTTTATTAAGTTTCTATTAAATGTACGGTACTTGAGAGAGATTTACATATAAATTAAACAAACGACAGCTTAGGGCCTCGTATTATGAGGTTACAGTTTGTCATATGCATTTAAATTTATTATTATTAAATGTATAGTACCTTTTGCAGGGCCGAATATTTTCTTGTTAAACAAGTTATAGCGTAGGACCTCGCGTTAATTAAGAGTCTAGATAAGGCCTTACGCTTTTAAATTTATAATTGCTTGGAGCACCTGTTGCATTTTGTAGCTTAGAGCCATATAAATTTAAACCAACTCTGAATATATTTATAAGCAAGTCCTATTCTTGCGTAGAAACATTGAATCCTGTACTTTATTTGCTATACTTTCGTTATTTTAAAGTATTGTATTTGACGTTTTCTGCTCTTATAAACTTCCCAATATACGAATATTTACATTAAAGTATGAGTAAATATAAAATTTAGCCAAATAAAATTTTCCACTTTTCTTTAAAAGTGAAAAACTATTAAATTTTAATTTTATATTTACTCACATTCTAGATATTTACTACTCAGATTCATTCATACTCTACATGCTGATCCTAAGAAATTTTTACATTACACAACACAACACAGTAACGGTAAAATTACAGAATACACGAGGCGTAACTTCTTTAATTATCTCGGAACATTGTTTCCAACCTGGGGATCGCGAGTCACATACATATGAGTAATTTCGTAATCTTTGTCACCTAAAAGGAATGGTTTTAAAAGTATAAAAATTAGGGATACATCAGAAAAAAGAACGAAATAACCTCATTTATCCCAAAGAATCTCGCTATTTGGACGAAGTTTCGGAGATTTATGACTAATCGTTTGCACTCGAACCAATTTGTCAGTACTTTATCGCATCGAAATACTGGAATTTAATGAATAATTCAAAAGGGGGTTAGTTATATAAATGAATGACGACGTTGCATGACAGGCAAATATCATGTGACGTAATTGCCTCCCGCTGAAAGGTGTCTGGTTACGCAGTTTAAACGCACACATTTAATTATTTTGTCTCCTTTTTTTCTAATCTTAATTTAATTTCCAAATTATTGCTCCGATTAATTAGATTAATTAACTTATTAGTATCTAATTAACAATGTATTTAGTCCAAAAAAATTAGTATGTGCCTCTATGGCCACCATTTTTAATATACTCAGATTAATCTTTATGTAACTTAAATTTATTTAATAATATTTATTTAGAATAAATTTAACCAAAGAAGATCAAGAGTATGTATAAAGATACATTAGGCACCATTATGGCATGTCTATTCGAATTACACAATATTCCTTTTGTTTGTTCTATCGATTTTATTGATTTTACTATCGATATGCAAATTTGATTAGTATTAGTGATTTAAAAATAGATCGAAATTCCATAAGTTTCTGATATAAAAATGTTTTTAAATATAAAAATGAAATAGAAATTTCATTCTTAAATCCTGTTTGTTAATAATAAATTAATCTAAAAGATAAGCGTTTCCTAATAAGTGGATTAAATTCGCCCCGAATCTATATCTTAATAATATCATGTTTACACAGATATAGTTTTAGATATAGACAAATTATGCTTTTGTCTGAGAGCTGTTGCTTTTAAAGGCCTCAGAAAAGCACAAATATATGCTTATCGATACTCAGTAGTCCAGTATTTGTAAACTAATACTTAAGCTTTTTATAATTCAAGTATCGTGAGATACGAGCTTTAGATTATATAAACTTATATAAAGGGCCTCGCAAGTCCAAGTGTGCTTAGATCCTCGTGCAACCCAAGACAGCCACTAATTTATAGTAAGATAGTTAGCTAACTGAAAGAATATAGTTTTTTTTTTTTAATTTTTCTTGCTCTGCGAGCACTAAGAAGGTTTTTTTCAGGTTTATTGGCCAGGCACACAATAAGGTAGCTAAATGATGAGCACTGACATGTTTGAATCAAATCATTCATGAAAATGTCTGAGGGTATAATCCGGATTCGAAACTTGATCCCTCAGAATCAGTTTTCGCAATCTGGTTGTCACTAAAGTACAAATTCTCAGAATTTTAAGGATGGTTTTGAAAGTGATTAGTTTAGTAATGAGAATTTGAGTTTACATAATGTATTAAACATTTCGCTAAGAATGTGATACATATACAAAATGTTACAAAGAAAAATAATAAAAATTATTTTCAAAACAATTAAAAAGCAAAATAATGAACAAAGGCTTTAAAATATTGAAGCAAGGGTGCTGGTATCTTGTTAATGATATTGATGAGATGAAAGAGAATACTATATATCTTCATGTTGTCTGTTCTCTTTTTCAAAAATTACTATCAAAAAATATCGAAAAAAGATCATTTGTACCAACTTGCTATTCACGAAACGCTTCAAATTTAAACTATTTACCATCCATTTTGTTACATTAGGAAATGACATTCCTAACTCAAAACATGAAAATGACATTCCTAAGGAGATAATACTTCCATTTTTAATCACAGTAAATATATGCATGGAAAGAAATATTGTTTGTTTTTGTTAGTTACGGCAACGCAACACTTGGGCGATCTGCCTAGGAGTGGATGCCTTCCGGGAGGTCTTTTAAGGGTAACTGTCCCCTATTTAGACATTAAAGACGTGGAGAAAACCTGGAAAACTCCACGTGGTCAGCCCGTCCTGGCGAGGCGCGAACCCACAACCGAATTACCAGTGTTCAGGGAACGGAACTGCTTGCCATTGGTGGGCCGAAAATTAATATTGAGTGGGCTCAGACTCAAATACATGATGATATCAGCACTCCATGAAATCCAGATCACAGACATAGAGAAGGGGCTCGAAAGTTTAGTCTTTATGCAAAAAATACAATAGAAAAGTGACGTAAAGTAAAAATTTCCTTTGGTAAGTGATGAAAAATCTGTTTTTCTTTATTCTATTCATATATTTTATGGTTTTCGGAATTATCTAGGACCTCAGGTTTATGACAGGCCCGGGTCTCTGAGAGAAAGCCCTGAGTTGATCTGACAATTGCAAAAACTAAAACTAATCAGCTACAGATAAAAACTGGAATTCATGGTTTTATTTCTTGCAACTATTTTTACAATATTTTACGTTCGATCAATATTGTTATGAATCTCACTGCACTTGTATGTATATATGTATATATAAAACTCATGTGACATACTTAATCCAATAATTCACTGATCCATACTGACCTGAATCTCATATTTATGTGCGGGATGAAGACAGATGAAATGATTTTCGACGTAATAAGGTTACGATCAATTATTATCCGATTTAAATATCTAAAAAAAAAAAGACACAAAAGATATTAATCTACTGCCGGAGAATATTTATTTTAAATATGTAAAAAACAGCCAAGTAATAATAATAAATTAATACAAAGCTTATGTAAATAGTCTACATCAAACGAATATTTACACAATTCTTTTATAGCTTAATTTATTTACACAGCTTCAAGATTTTATGTTTAATTTCTTCGATTTTCGAACACCGGTTTAATCTGAATTAATTCAGGAATAAATTACTTTATAGGTTTAAAAAAAAGCATTTGTGTTTGTTCTGTATGGCTATATGTTAGTGTCTTGCTGTCTTCTTTGTCTGATTAATTATTTTGAAATTATTGTGATCCAATCCTTTATAAATGTTACTTCCATCATCCTTAAAAGTATAAGTATAAATTTTTTGAAGAAAAAATTCTTCAAAAAACTTGAGACTAAACATAAATCTTAATATTAATTATATAATGAAGTCTCATCTAATCCGAGTAAAACAGGGATTATGGCAGATAAAATTGCTCTATATTGGTATTTAATTATATATATATATATATATATATATATATATACAGTGTATATAAATGAAGAAGTTTGTTTGTTCGCTGCATACTCCTAGGCCGTTTGACCAATTGCTACAAAACTCAACAATTACGTTCACGTATTTCTAACTTAGATAATGTCGTACATCCCAACTCAAAATACCGATTGAATTTTTATAAATCAATTAATTTCTATCTACATTAGATTTGCTTGCTTTACACGTAGCGCCATCTATTGGCAAAAAATGAAAAAAATTAAAATTTTTACAAGAAAGGTATAACTTTTAAAATATATATATTATATTCACTTAATTATTGCGAAATAGACGCGCTATACCATTACTTCTACAGATAGCATATCGTACTTGCCTGCGTGGAATCGAACGTGTAGGGTCCAGCTTCCCATAAAAGTCTTCTTGGGATGACGCCCTTCGGCAGACTTGTCGCGTTGCCGTAACCAAATAAATCAAACTACAGTAATTTTAACGAGCGATTATTTATTACGACATCGTCGCGATGCCGAACTGCAATTTTTCGTCACAATATTCTTAATTCTTTTAGCGATGTCTTGCCCCTGTACATTATACTTTTCCTGTTAGCAATAGAGTCGTACTGGTTATTTATCTAACTTCTTTAAGGGATAAATTTGGAATTGAAGTAACATGACTTCCGGTTCAACCGGAAGTTCGTATGTATATAGTTAATATGGGCCTCCTGCCTCAATGCTTTTCACATATGGCCTCGATTTTCATATATCTTAGTCCGTTCTTGAGATTAAAGAAGGACAGCAGACAGACAGCAGAAGAACAGTAGGAATTTATAGGTCTACAAATTTTTCAAATTGCAGCCCAATAATTTTTCTATAAACGCGATATTTACGAGAACATACTTCCCACGTAGTTTATATACAGTAATCTGTTGCAAAAGTACTGTATAAACACTTTATTATCACTTGTAAATTCCAGGAGATCGTATAAATATATTTAAAAAGGTATATATATACCTTTTTAAATATATTCATTTGGAAACTTTTTAAAATTATAGGCCTATATATATATAATTTTAAAAAATCTTCCAAATGAATATATATATACATATATATAATTTTAAAAAGCTTCCAAATGAAAGTTGTTTTAAAACAATGAATATAATAAAATTACACTGTTCTTTTCAACAGTCCTTTTTTATTATCTCTTCGATAGTCATAGTTCGATAGCAAGGTCACCTGACTTCTGAAATCTGGTCGCTAATCACTTTTTGCTTTGTCTGCTGAATATGAGGCGAACGCCATGCATACAGGTACAGCACATCCGATCTACGCTGTTTTGTATATATTTCATGATACTTTTTATTGTGTTCAAAAAATCTTTTCATAATGGTTCTGTAAGAAATCTGTTGACTGTTCGAGTATTAGAAAACTGACTAATAGAAGATTTAGTCAAATCTCTACATAACATATACCATAGTGTAGAGAGAGAGAGTATATCCCTATCGCTATGTATCCTGAGTGGGGATGTATCATAAGATTAACATAGATCTTTATAAATCTTTCTTAAAATAGTGCTCCTTTATGCGGACTATTGCTCTAAAAATGCTGGAGACAAGACGCTCGTTTAAACGGACTTCGCTACTATCGGCTACTCTGGATCGGAATTTGAACTGGATTCGATTTTTTCTGTCTTAAATCAATATGCTCTCGTATGTATCTGATATTTTTATGAATACAGTCGACCCCCCTATAAGATAGAGATACGTTCCATTCTCTAGGAATCCGCTTTCTTACGAATCCTTCCAATCACAACCCGACACGTGTCAAGTTTACGGACTACGGCTGTTTGAAAGATTTTCTTCCATAAAATTAATCGATTCTAGACTAATCCGACTCAACATTTCCAAAATACGTATATATTTTTTGGGAATAATCCGTATAAACTACGCTATAAACAAAAAATTGTAGGATTACTTACCGAGTGTCACCATTCGACATTGCCATTGCTCAACATTGTTTTCGTCGCGGAACAGCTCAGCAAAGAGCGGCCGATTTCTAACAACTTATTTTTCTGTGAAAACTTCGTAGAACTTCGGAGACATCATTAATATAAATAATTTTAATCGCCGTTGAATAAGAAATGTTTCTTTCACAAGAAATGTATAAAATTACAGTACTGTATTAGACTTACGGTACCTAATTTACATACTGACAGACGATAGTTAGCGTAAAAATCTCCGTAGCGTGGCGCCACGCTAGACGGCGGAAATTATATATTTAATTATAACAAAGTTACAATAAGTTAATATATAATTATATATACAGTACCTAATTTATATATAATTAATAT